TGGGTGGCATCACGTCCAGGTGCAGATCAAGCACTTGGGCACCTGCACATCCGGGTGCATGCTAAAGGTGCTAGCATTTCCAAACCTGAACAGGTAGTATATTTTTCCTTTTTTTGGAAAGAAAAAGATTAAACAGTGTAGCATCGTAGCAGGTGAGCGGAACGGTACAATGCATTCTGCCATCAGTCCATTTCCCAGCTACTACAACGTTCCAAGACGGCCTCTTTTTTTTTTTTTTTTTTTTTTTTTCACCAACACGGCCGTTGACTGATGATGTAATGCATTGTACCGTTCCGCCACGAAATCATCAGTGGGGCCTCCCGAACAGAAAAGCGGCCGTCCTTGGCGCCAGGCAAAAGCACTCGATTTCATGCCTGCGCCAGTTGGTTCTTTTCTGACGCACTTCAGAAACGAGCATAATAGCAAACTTACACCACCAGTACCCCGCCCAGCTACTGATGCCAAGGCTAAATATTCGCCCTGCATGCCAAAAAAAAAACGAATGGACATGGGCCTGGTTTTGGCTGGCTCCAGCCAGCCATTTCGGTCCTGTACGAGGACCACCGAAAAATGCCTTCGTAAGCTCGTATACGAAACTCGTATTTTTTTATAAAGCTGGGTGGGGTCGTGGTGGTTAAGGTGAGTCTTTTTAATTGAGATGCTTTGATGAACATACAACATACACTCGTGCCGAGTGTACTGTTGACTGCGTGCTTTGGCTTTGCAGTTCTCTGAATCCTGAATCCTACTGGTGGTTAACCACAAGTACGTCTCCGAGGCAAAAAATAAAATATTCAGCTTGCATACATCTGCAACTTTTGGGGCTCAGCCTCCGGAGCAAAAAAAAAAAAAAGGCTGGCAGCGCCAGCCAGCCAAGAGGAGGCCCGCACGGGTTCATTTTTGTTTGGCGAGCAGGACGTTCGCAGCCCCGAAGAAAAGTGCCTGGAAGTACTGGTGGGCAGCTGGGCAGCTGGGCACCTGGGCACCTGGGCCGAGGGCCTGAGACCTCAAATTCTGGAGGGGCGAAATGAAAACGCGACGGCCGATCAAATTTATCAATGGCGGGCCCAGCATTTGACGTTGCGGCTTCGTTTTTCTTGTGGCGACAAGTTTCAGACTGCAAGGCTGGGGGCCTGCACTTGTGGTTTAAAAGGAGTCCCGTCCACAATGTGCCTAGCTCACTTTTACTGTTTTAAGTTTTACACCCATGGACTGTTGAAACTTGAAACACAGGCTCGAGTTCGACTGTGCACGGAATTAGATAACTGTAATTTACTCTTTTTTTTTTTTTTTTTTTTTTTTTTTTTTTTTTTTTTTTTTTTTTTTTTTTTTTTTTTTTTTTTTTTTTTTTTTTTTTTTAGGTTGTAGTTTACTAATTTCTGAAATACCTGGGACCAATCAGTTCTTCTATGAGTAGAAATTTGTTGGGAAACCTGCAGTAGGGGCTGTCTGAGGGGGATCCTCCAAGATAGGATGGTTTGCGCCCCATAAAACAATTCGTTGCTGACCGTAGATAGGTACCTCAACGTCGTGGGTCCAGAAACCGACATCTACGACATCCTGCACTTCAAAAAAACAAAAAAGAAGAAGAAGAAGAAGAAGAAGAAGAAGAAGATATATCAAGGTCATGGCCCTCTTCAAAAAAGGACAAAAAAAAAAATAGAGAGAGTATCGGATGGATTTGTTTATTCAGCTTTCTGGCAAACATTTGCGGAGAAGAATGATTGAACAGTGTCAGTTTTTATATTTTAAGGCCATGCTAATCTTCATTCTCTGTATGGTTCCAATTTTCACAGATGTCCCAAAGGACAGTGTCAGTGTTTTCTAAGTTTCGTCTGAGGAGAAGAATGATTGAGCCACCAGTCATTCTCAAGTACTTGGCCCATGCACGGGGTCGCGCCTGGGCCAGTGTAGGTGTTCCTGAAGTTTCAGCGATATCGTGTCACGTATGATGGGCATGTCGGCGACTTTCGTGTTCACAGGTGACGATGGGTTGAGCTTTCAACCGCCAGTACACGGCCCCAGCCTTGCTGGAAAAAAAACTCGCCGCCTACGGAATTTTTGGAGGCCCAGCGCCGTAGATAAATCCAATCGGCGGGCGGCGGCCGCACGATTGGATTCTATTGCGATGACGTTGCCTGTACCAAAATTTTGGGGACGCGTTCAACTTTTGTTTTTCCATGTGCTGACAAAAAAAAAAAGTACTGTATCAGGGGAAAAAAAAAAAAAAAAAAAAAGTTACTGTATCAGAGATTCAGAGTTTTTTCATTGACGGTCACCACTGGCTTCCCCGAATAGAATGCAAGGGTCATTAGAGCTGGAATTTAGTCAACTTTCAGTCTAGATACAGCTGTGATGACCGTACTGAAGAGAGTAGCCGTGAGCTTGGAAATCTCACACGTCCCGTTTGGACAGAAGCTAAGAGCCAGATCCCACTGGCAAAGAGGGTTGGAATAAGTGTCTGAATCAGGAGGTGTTCCAGGAAGAGATGCAGAAAAGCAGATCAATTACAGTTTTTTGCACCTCTCAACAAACACGTCCACATTCAGACACTTATCTGTTCTTATCAGTTTAATATCTGCTCCGTGGTCCATCGGGCCACATTTAAAAAAAATGAAACAATAAATATATGTATATATATTATATATATATAGTCAAACAGAGCTGCCCCGTAAACCGTAGGCAGAGAGGGAGAAGAGGACAACAAAGGAGGGGCTGTAGCAAACTGTTTCATCGGAGTTCTATACATATATAGTCGAACCAGCTGCCGGGTGAACTGTAGGCAGCGAGGGAGAAGAGGACAACAAATGAGGGGCTGTGACAAACTGTTTTGTCGGAGTTTTACCGACTCATCAGGTTGGCTATCCCCCGATGAGGAGAAGACCGCTTTCTCAGGGGGAGAAAAAAAGAAAAATTGCTTTTATTTCCTTTTTTCTCCATTTCTTTTGACACTTTGGGGCTCTTTACTACAGGGGAGGGGATCCGCCTGACAAAGCAGAACATCAGAAAAAGTTCCAGATTTAGGGGTTCCAGAATCTGGAACTTTTTGTCATATATATATCGTCATATATATATATATATATTGTCACATCCCTACAAACTAAAAGAGCCCACTTTGCGGAACAAAGAATAAAAGCAAAAAACGGGCACAGTGATAACATGCAAAAAGAAAAAGAAAAAGAAAAAGAAAAAGAAAAAACAAGGGCAGATTGAAACCATTAAATTTCTCACTCTTCTTTGAACTCCACCTCCACTGTGCCTCTCACGTGCAAGGCTCGCCACGTTGATGAAGTTGAGCNGCACAGTCGCCATAGCCAGTTGGAAGAGAACTCTTATCTGGTTACGATATCTTCGAGTACTGTGTGGGCGCATGTCGCCAGTTTGCTGTATCGCTGTTTGCATGCATGGTGAAGTGTGAATAAGTCGAGTCTGATTGCACTGGTATCGGAGCTGGTACCCGCTGTTCCATGCGCGCATCGTGTGCAGGAATGATGCGCCATAGCTGAGGTGGTGACCGAAGGAGGCAGTCCGCCATAGCGGACCTCGAGGTGGAAGAAGCCGCCGCGCACCTGCATCAAGAAGACCACGACGAAGAGAGAGAGAGAGAGAGAGAGAGAGAGAGAGAGAGAGAGAGAGAGAGAGAGAGAGATGAGCGATCCAAGATTGGCTGTTACTTACCTGTGAAGCGAGTTGCGCAGTCCTGCGGAGGGGGAAGATAGCGGCCATAGCCGCGGAGTATCAACACAGAGTGCCGGAGGAGAGAGAAAGGGAGGACAGAGAAGGAGGGACTAAGGAAAGGAGAGAGAGACGTGTGGAAGGAGGACGTTGGGGGAAGAAGACAGACATAGCCGGGGGTGAACAAAAAAAAAAATATACACAGAAAGTGAAGGAGAAGAAGAGTGAGGGAAGGGGAAGGAAGCGGCGAGGGTGACGAAGGTGAAGGTGCCGGCAGCCATAGCCGAGGTGAAGAGTTGACCAGGCGTTGACCCGACCGTTGACCAGAGGGTTGACCAAGGGTTGACCAAAGGGTTGACCGAGCGTTGACCAAGGTGGTTGACCAAGGCGTTGTCTGGAGCTGCTGACCAAGATTTTGACCAAGCTGGAGTTGGTGATATCTCGCTGAGCCCTTAGCCTATCCCCTTACCCTGTGGATGTGCACTCACCCTACGGTACTTGCCGAGTTCGAGTCTGTCTGTCTTTCCTTTCTGCATTGAGTCTCTTCTGTCCTAGGTGTTAGGACTCTGTGGATGAAGGATAGGGCCTTGCTGCCAAACCTGCACGGGCTGAGTAGGACCAAAGCTCTACGCTGGCACTTGGAGACCTGGGCATGAGCGGCGAGCGCTCGTTAAACAACTCGTCTAGCCCAATGACCGGCATTGCTCGGCAGGTCTACTGAGTTCAGTGTAGAGGGTCTGAACTCCAAGCTGTAGGCTGAAACGAAGGCCGTCTTTAAGTGTTGAGGCCTAGTTGAACCACTCCCCTACCGGACCTAGTAAGGCTGATGAGCTGTGTCTGACGACTCGACTGTCCCGAGGGATACGAACCCCTCCAAGGACCGGTACAGACCGGCGGGCTGCTCGGTGTGGCACAGTAGGTCAGAACGACTGAGTTGTGGGCTGAAATTGCCAGGAAGAACCAAGCTGATCACGTCGTCCTGTCTGCGACGTTAAAGAATTCTTGCGGAGTTTGGGGGATCTCCTTAAATGCCTCCAGATCAGCTTTTGGTTCAGTAGTGACAGCCTTAGAATAGTCTTGGGTTAGTGACCATAGTTGACATGGTCTTACCCTGTGGTCCTTAGGAAGATAGTTAGTAAGTCTGTGGCCGGGTAGGTCTAAGTGGTGAGGAGTGGGACTCTTGTCGTGCACCTAACACCACGATGGACGACTATCCGATGTATGGGTTGCTCGTTGGGTTTTCCCTCTGGGGGACCCTCTAGTGTCTCCTCTTTCCTCTGGGGTTCTGGCACACCTTTACGTGTAGAGTAGATACCCGGGGTGGTGCCTCCAACAAGCCATACACGAAGGAGGAGGAGGAGAAGATGGCCGCCATCTTGCAAGAGAAGAAGGAGAAGAAGGAGGCCAAGAAGAGGGCCTTGAAAAAGGAGCAGGCGGCCAAATTGAAAAAGATTGAGGAAGAAGTGGCAAGAGAGATTAAAGAAGGAGGAAGAGGAGAAGCTGAAAGAGGTGGAAGAGGAAGAGGAAGAGGATGAAACGCCACTGCAGAGGAAGAAAGGGCAGTACAGTGGTAGTAGAGACGAGGAGATGGAGAAACGGATTTCGGAGTGGGTCGCCAACTTATCCTTGGGCGAAGAAGAAGAGGTGGCGATGTATATAACCAAGGATGACCAGGAGGCCGCTATGAGAGCATGGGAAGCAGAAAAGGATGTGCTGAAGCGGCAGGCAATGGAGGATGAGCAGCGAATGGAGTGGAAACTCGCGATGATGAGAGAGAAGAAGAGGAGGGTGGAGGCGGCAAGCGAGGCGGTCAAGGAGTTAGAAGAAGTGCAGAAACTAAGTCTAAAGTTGACTCCTCAGGTGGACCTCGAACGAAAGGTAGAGATTCTCGCCCAGAGCGTCGAGCGTTTAGCAAGGGTGCAAGAACAACAATACGAGTTTAGTCGAAGTCAGGACATAGCTGTGCGCTCGATGCGAATGGGATTCCGGGACTTTGCTCGCGAGATGATAGGAGCCGTAGGAGCCGAGGTGAATCATCGCCTCGAGAAGACTGAGCGTTTTTGCGTCGGCGCCATTGAAGGCGTCAAAGTGGCAGCTCCCAAGGAGGAGGAACCACGCCCGCCGCGTAGAGAGCCAGTCAAAGTCAAATTCCCTTATTCCTATAGTGGAAAACGGGAAGAGAACTTTGAGAATTGGGAGGCCAACGTCAAGACCTATGTGCATCTGCAACAGGTCTCCCCGGATCAGCATGTCTTGATTGCGATCCACGCGCTCAAAGACGAAGCTGCCAGCTTCGCAAGGTCCCTAGTTCACGCCGCCAACTGCAATGATGATGCAGTTGCCTATTCGTCATTCACCTCCCTCGCCGAGTTCATGAAATTGCTACTCGAGCGATTTGCGAATGTCGCTCGCAGTGTTAAGGCCTCAGACAAGCTCTAGACGATCCACGCTCGTAAGTGGAAGAGTGCCAGGGCACACAAGAGCACAATGGACGAATTGGTAATCGTTCCTGACCATGGGGTTACAGACACCCAGTTGGTCGCCCTCTTCTATAGAGCAATGCCCGAAGCTTTTCGCGGGCACTTCTTCGCGAAGAGCGAAGACCCTGCCACCACTTACGATTCCCTTAGCCGTGAAGTGGTGGCCTTTGAGGCAAAATCGGTGGCAGTTTCCACCTTCTGGCACAAAGATTTGGATAAGGGAAAACAATGGAAGGGCCGCACTATCTCTGGGCAGGTGAAGACTAAGGATAGCCTTGTCCTAACTTTGGATGAGGATAGTGTGGATGAAATCCCCTACGAGCAGATTGAGTGGGGGTTAGAGGAAGAGGACAGAGGTGTGGGCCAGGGGAGGACTTACGCTGCTGTCACGGCTGGAGGGAGGCCGCAAGGAGGACGAGGCCAGGGCCAAGGGGGCCGGGCCTCAGGGAGCCGGTTTCAAGGCGATCAAGGGGTTGGCGGTAGAGGAGGAAACCGCCAAGCGGGAGGCAGGGGTCAAGGTCCCCGCAAAACCGTCCTAGGAACAGGTCTCCCTATAGGGTAGGAGGATGGCACCCAGGGCTACCTCAGGGTAGGCCTTGGGAATCTTTGGGTCTGGACCAGACTTTATGGCAACAACGATTGGACCGGGGCTAGTGCATTTTCTGCGGTGACCCGGGCCACATCATCAAATACTGTCCTAAGTATCGAGAGACCCGCACGGCTGCCCAAGGGCCAAAAGGCAGCCGCCGGTAGGGGTAGCAACTGCCCCTACCATTAGGCCATGTGGGGAAAATAGCGCTAGCCGGCAGGAGACTCCCACACCACATGTGCCTACGGCAGAGGTTGCAGGCCGGTGTCTAGACAGCTGTCCCGAAACTGCTTGTGTTAGAGTTTCGCTAGACACCTCCCTCACAAGCGTGGCCGAAGAGTTGAAGGAGAGGATGCCCGCCTGGGCCAAGACGAGAAAGGAGAATAAAGGGCAACTTATATTAGTAGACACAGAGATTTCTAGAGGTAGAGTAGGCCCCCTAGTAGACTCAGGGGCCACCCGCAGCTATATTAGTAAGAAAGCGCTGCAGAAGTTGAGGCTGGGACTTAAAGTCCAGAAGTTGACAGACCCCATAGTCAGTATCCTCGCGGACAACCGTACTATGGTTATAGAGGAGTATGTAGAGGGAGTCCATGCGTATTTTCGCCTAGAGAAGGATGGGAAAGTGGAGAAGGTCCTCCACTCCCTGACTCTCCTCGTAGAAGACAGCCTCCCATTTGATATTGTCCTGGGAATGGATTGGGGAGAGGCAGCCGGGGCCACGCTCCATTTGAAGTTGCCTTAGTGCGCCTGCATTCGCCAGATTAGTGAAGAAGGAGAAATTGGAGGAACAGGTCTTTGTTGCCTATGTTAGGCCAGTGACTGAGCCTACGGAGGAAAAGTCGATGGACCCTACAATTGCCAAGCTGCTGGAAGAGTTCAAGGATCTAACTGAGCCGCCGATAGGAGTAGTACCGCGGCCCATCCAGCACCGTATCGAGATAGAGCCTGGTAGTACAACTCCTAAGGGTGCTGTGTATAGAATGTCCCCACGGGAGTTAGAGGAGCTTCGCAAGCAATTAGACGAGCTCCTCGAGAAGGGTTGGATTAGGCCCAGTTCGTCTCCTTTTGGAGCACCTGTTCTCTTTGTTCCTAAGAAAGAGGGAGAGCTGAGGATGTGCATAGACTATAGGGGTCTGAATGCTATTACAGTAAAGAACGTTGAGCCACTGCCTAGGATAGACGATCTCTTAGATCGAGTGCAGGGGGCGAAGTATTTTTCTAAGATAGATTTGAAGTCCGGATATCATCAGATAGAAGTGCATCCTGATGATCAGTATAAGACAGCCTTCCGGACTAGATATGGGCACTACGAGTTCATAGTGATGCCCTTTGGACTAACCAATGCGCCAGCTACATTCCAGCGCTGTATGAACGATTTGTTTAGGCCATGGTTAGACAAATTCGTCGTAGTTTATTTAGATGACATTTTAGTGTTTAGTAAGACCCTCGAAGAGCATCAGGGTCATCTCTGGCAGGTCTTGGAGAAGCTAAGGGAAGCTAACTTCAAGATCAATGCAAAGAAGTGCGATTGGGCGAAAACCCAAGTTTTGTACTTAGGCCACGTCTTAGACGAAGACGGCGTTAAGCCAGAGGATAGTAAAATCGCAGCGATTAGAGATTGGCCTACGCCGCGTACGTTGACAGAGTTGCGGTCGTTTCTAGGCCTAGCCAACTACTATAGGAAGTTCGTGAGGAACTTCTCCACCGTCGCTGCGCCCCTTCGCAGATTGCTCAGGAAGGAGACCATCTGGAAGTGGGATAAGACTGCACGTCTGCCATGAAGAAGTTGAAGCAGGCGTTGATAGAGTACCCAGTCCTTAAGGTAGCCGATCCGTCCTTGCCCTTTGTCGTTACTACGGATGCTAGCCAATACGACATAGGTGCGGTGTTGCAGCAAGACGATGGCAACGGTTATAGGCCCGTAGAGTTCATGTCCGCCAGGATGCCTTCAGAGAAGGTCGCGACATCTACCTATGAGAGGGAACTCTACGCTCTCAGGCAAGCGTTAGACCACTGGAAGCACTACTTGTTTGGAAGGCACTTCAAAGTCTACTCTGACCACGAGACATAGAGATGGTTAAAGACGCAGGCCAAGATGACACCTAAGCTTACTAGGTGGGCCGCCGAGATAGATCAGTACGACTTTGAGCTCAAGCCTGTCAAAGGGAAGTATAACGTAGTTGCGGATGCTCTGAGTAGGAGAGCAGATTACTTTGGGGCAATAGTGCATTACCTAGACATAGGGAAGGATCTGCAGCAGAAGGTTAGAGAAGCCTACGCGTAGGACCCTATCTACAATGACCTCCTTAAGAAAGTCAAAGAGGCCCCAGAGACTAAACCGAACTACCGCACTATTGAAGGGTTGCTCTTCGAGAAGACTAATGTATTCGACCGCCTGTGCATTCCCCGTAGCGAAGAGATTCGTAGTCTGATTCTGGGAGAATGCCATGACACAGAGGGTCATTTTGGTTGGCAAAAGACTTTAGCCAATGTAATGCGCGCATATACCTGGCCAGGGATGAAGAATGACTGCGTAAAGTATGTTCGCAGTTGCAAAGTCTGCCACCATAACAAGAGTTCCACGCGCGCCCCGTTAGGTCTTCTCAGACCCTTACCCATTCCGGATCAACCGGGAGACTCAGTGTCCATCGACTTCATGGACACCCAGGTCAAGAGTCGGCATGGCAAGAGCCAAGTCATGGTCATAGTTGACCGATTTAGCAAGTACGCAGTCTTTGTTCCTTTGCCGTCAGAGGCACGTACTTATTTAGTCATTCAGAGGTTTTTTGACTGTTGGGTTAGTGAGAATGGAATCCCACTGTCAATAGTTAGCGATAGAGATAGTCGCTTTACCAGCCAGAACTGGCAAGAACTCATGGGAGTGTATGGATCTAAGTTGTTGATGTCGTCTGGCCGTCATSCARAGACTAACGGTCAGACAGAGCAAATGAACAAAATCCTACAGCAAGTTCTGCGCATGTACATTAGGCTAGATCAGATTAACTGGGATGAGATGTTACCTAAGGTAGCTAGTGCATATAATAACAGCGTGCATCTGTCCACCTGCCGCACTCCCAACGAACTGCACAAGTCCTTTAGGCCCCATAGACCGTTTGAAGGACTTAGCCGGAATCGGATTCACAGATGGCCGCCCGGGACGAGGGAGTTTGTTGTGCAACACGAGAAAGAACTAGCTACTGTAGTAGAGAACCTCAGAAAGGCCCAGCACCGGATGATAGAACAAGCCAATAAGCATCGTCGCCCCTCACAGTTCCAAGTAGGCGACTTAGTCTGGGTCAGTTCTAAAGAGTTTGCACCTGAGGAGAACATCTCGCAGAAATTACTGCCCACCTATAGAGGACCGTGGCCAGTCTTAGAAGTCAAGGGCGGCGAAGATGGACCGTCCTATACCATAGAACTCCCAGCACACCTCCACACGTATCCAGTTTTCCATGCATCAAAGTTGTTACCGTGTCAAACAAGTGATCAGTTTCCATCCTGTAGGTCCATGATCCCACCTGATATGGATGGAAGATACGACATTGATGGGATAGTGGCTGAAGATGTCTTCAGGACTGGAGGTAGGGGTCGTCCACAGAAACAGTACAAGGTTCGTTTTAGTTATCAGGAACCGGAAGACGACCGCTGGCTTACAAGATCTGAACTTCTAGAGACAACTCCCGATATAGTCCGGGCCTACGAGAGACAGCAGAAGGGCAAAGGTCCTGCCTTGGACTGAAATTTTCTCGGAGGACCTCGAAATTAGGCCGGCGGGAGTGAAACGGTATTCACCAATTCGCAGTAGCGAATGCAGATCCCAGGGCTTGATCCCTAGTTCCCCGTCTTACCTGTGTACAGTATTAGTGTCCACCCGTAGACTTGAACCCGCGACCTGTAGGCACGCCAGTGGTAGGTAGGTGGTCGTAGGTCACAGGGTAGAAGGGAATCGAACTGTAGACCTGTAGAGTAGGAGTCTAGACAATTCCGAAGTCGTAGTTG